TGCACCTTAATGCACCTTCTCAAATCTCATTGATCAATGCAGGCAATGGACTCACTCTCTTACCTATCAGAGCTCTTATCTTCCTGTCGGGTGTGTCAAATAGTGCCGTCAGTTAATACCTTAGCTATTCTAAGATAGGTCTCCCTATGTTACTGTATTTCATTCAAAGTTTTTTTGGATTGTAGCTGGAATCCCAATTTGTATTTCTCATCATGAGCCAGTTATACAGTGGCCAATAACTAACTAGTTAGGAAGTTATTAGAAAACGACTTTTCTAACTACTGACACAGGCTTGTTTCAAAGCAGAATCCAAGAACATTAGGATTGTATGCAGTATGAATTCCACAACACGAAATCATTCATTACATAACATGTTTGTACAGGCTCCTTCCATCTATTTATAAAATGACCAAGCAATACTCAAAGCTATCAGGCTTCAATGCAAGACAAACTGAGAGCAGTTTAGAAAGGTATCTGTAGCTAACAGCAAAGCAGGCAGACACATAAATACTTAAGTGTCCCATTTCTTACCATTTCTTTGGAGGAAATTGGCAAATCTTAACTGTGAGTAGACCAGCTCCTACAGCATCTGCTCAGATAGAACCAGTCTCCCAGGGACTTACAAATAATTTGGCATCTCAGGAACTCTTTTATTTTCCTCTAAATGTCTCCCATACAGAGAATTGGATGGCTATTAGCTTCTGAGTTTCACAGTAATAGAAGCATGTGTAACGAGCTCATTGGTCAATCCCTTTGTTACTTTGTTTTTCAGTGACCAGACATTGAATCTATATCAAGCCACAAGTGTTAGGTTCAAGGCTGCAATGAATATCATGCACATATCAACGTGTTACTCAGAACATCTGGCTCTGGAGAGCTCAGTGTGGACATGGTGTGTTCAAAAGAGACGTGTGTTTAAAGGCTGCCTAGAAGTATTTTGGTTGTAGCTCAGCAGGTTATAAGACTTTCTTTCTTAATCCTAGTGTCCTCCTGTTGTGACCAGATAACATTGACCCCCAAATGACTGTTACAAACGTATCAGTAAAGAGCATTTGCATGTATTTGAATGACCAGTACACTTCATTGCTAGATGAATTCGTTTTTGGCATTATTGATTATATATTGAAATAAATAAGGGAGCTATGCCAGTAAATATCATTCAATCATTTGTTATTAACATGTCTAAATGGTAATAGATTGTCTTACACACCATGTTACACCTGTGCTTCTAACATCACAACAACTATACAAAAGAATGTAGCCTAGCATAGCATGAGAGGCAGGCTCAGTAACAGTATAAACACACGACCCTGTTACACTGCCATGGGAAAGGAAATACTTGTGGACTGGCAAAAGAGGACCTGATAGTATTGGTTATCTGGACATTTGGAGTCTTTTTTTTGTTTTATTTTGTATTTATTATATTTTATTTTGTCCAAAAGAAATGTGTTTACCTGTGTTAGAGGTAGCAATCATATCACTTTAAAAGTGTTGCTGTTGGTTTCATAAGGTTTTGCTTTTATGCAAAGCAGGTTGTTAATGGTTACAAACAAATGATGGAAAGCATCCTAAAACTAAATATGTGTATTAATGTAGTGCATACAGTTGCTAACAGTCATTAAATACTTCAAAAATATATTGATAAACCATTCTGATTTGTAAAACAGATGGTTCTGACATGACATGCTGAAAAAACACGTTCAAATTCAGTCTATTTTTAAGGGATTGTTTTCATTTGTTTTGATCAATTTCCCTTAAATACTTTTATGCCCTGGTACTAATGAAAAATAGGTATTAATGTTTGTAACAAACTGTTATTATTTGTATCCTGCAGTACTAAAAACAATGTGTAGAAATGAAGATGCTGCGTTACAAGATGGATAACTCGTGACGGGGCTTACCTTGATTCATAAGGCAGTGTTTATGAAATGGACACACTGATCAGCAAACAAGGAAATAATAATATCTGATAAGGTGAAAGGGTCTGTCCAGGCACTTTTTTCTCAGCTTACAAACGTGTTACTGATTGACTTCTGTGTGAACACAAGGTGTTACTGAGGGCCAAAACTAGTGACTGTTACAGTATAATAGTGAATAGGTACCTTAATGTGTCACTAAATGCTGTGTCTTTCCTTAAATCAGCTGTTAGGTTGTGAATGACTACTAAGGCCGCTGTTGTATTGGGACACAACTGATCTAGTAGGGGGATCTCCTCTTTCCTGGGGTCTTTGCTGGAAGGCCTTATCCTCTCAGAGCTGTCTCTGACTCCCATGACCCTCACTTAATTTCATGACCCCCCCCCGCAGCAGTCAGCGCGACCTCTGAGACCTCCACCTGGTCTATGAAGAGTCCGCTGACTGGAGGCAGACGTGGGGAGTGATTGCTGTGAAGAGGAGAAGGAAGAGACAGTGTATGCTCATCTCTTATATTATTGTAATATTTCCAGTATTGTTTTTGTTATGACTAATAAAAGCATCTCGCTAATAAGTATGACTATTTTGTGTTTTTCCAAAAATTCAACATGTGTTAAAGGGAGATGAAGAATATGTGGATGTGTGGACAATCTACAGGGCTTACTGTTAATGTATACTGTGAAAACAGCTTAGCAAAGCAAAGGACATGTTGTGTGTGTGCAGGTCACATCTAGATTGAACAAATGCTGTATTAATCAGCTTTTCCAATTTACACTATGGTAGAATGAAGTCACATTTTGTCTGTTTGAATGTACATATGGTCGATTTAGTGTCCAGAACCATGTTTTTTAAGTTCTTTTTTTATTATTATGATTATTAAATGTTTAGTATTAGAGGCTACTGATCCACAATCCTTACAGTCATGTGGGTGTTCTATGTTTTTCATCAAGAAGCTTAAGATGAAATGAATTAAAAAAATGAACACATGTATTGCAATATCTAAAACTAAATCTGTAGACAGAGCAACTGCGCCATGCAGTGATTAGAGTGGAATCTACATTATCAGAGTATATTGTAACACAAAGTCTGTCACAGGTTGCAGTCAGGGCCGGCCCTAGACTTATGGGGGCCCTACGTGAGCTTGGGCCCCACCCCGCATGTTCTCACTACACACAACACGGAACCAACTTTTGTCTTATGATGTTAGCATAAGCACACATATTGTATAAATAACCATGTAAACACTATGGACCTAACCTCTTCTAAGGGGGGTCCGGGGCCATGCTCCCCCGGGAAGATTATTTTTTTTAAATATTGAAGTTAAAAGCATCAATCTGGTGCACTTTGAGAGAAAAATGAAGAGATCTATGGATACATATCTCAACACCCATACAAAACAGAACTGTAAACAGATTTTTCTTTATGGATATTTTACAAATCACTTAAACTATATTCTTGTTTTGTCATATAGTATTTCATAACTGTTTTTCATTTATTCTCTGGCTGTCCATCTCATAATGTTCACATAGAAACTAGCTGTCAATAGGAATATCATTCAGAAGAATTATAATTTTTTGCAAAAATCTGTCTCAAAAAGAGGTTGCACATTTAAATGCAGGTGTTGTTATGGCAACGTCAGTGGCCAAACAGCCACATTTACTGCTGCAAATACGTTCACAACATGCTGTTGACAGGCAGTGGCAACTATGCCACCATTTCAGCTGACTTTTTCTCAGAAATACTGTCACATAACATCTATATATTTCAGTGCTAGGTTGATTCTTAGCTAAGCTAACTATGAAACACTTTAACTGACAGGACTCAGGATCAACTGTGTACTGTAAGGTAGCTTCTAGCTTCATGTCGAACAGTCAACATTTTCCAGAGAGCTTTCTTTGAAACCACCAGGTAATGCTAAAAAACATTACATTTAGATTGTATGACAAAGTGTTTATTTAATATATCTGGCTAGCTATAGCTACTTGCTAACGGTTTAGCTTACCCCCGCGATTCAAAGTAACGTCAACGTAGCTGTAATGTATGCTTTGCTTACATGTTCGCATAACTTGGAAGTTTACTGACATTTACACACCTTGTTTGCCTGACTCAAGTGGTGGCTCTGGGGTTGTTGTGTGAGCCACCACTTGAGAATTGTCGTCTTTTTTAAGAAAATGTTTTCTTGTGTCCATCTTCAAAAACTCTGAGTCCGACTGACAGTTTATTTTAAACAGTGTCAGAGCTCACAGGATAGGTACCTGTCAGCCAATAAGACAGATGTGTATTTCCATTCAACTCTCTGGTTGGTCTGGTGTCTTGCCTCTGTTGCATTCACTGAACCCGGGAAATTACAATCCTGTCGTCCTCTAGTGTCATGATGAGGTTCAGGTAAAGCACGGTTAATGTATTATATTATTGATTCAATAATATAATACATGACGTTGAGAGTAGGTAATCTAGGCATATTAACCCAATTAATTAAACATACTTATCACGGCGACGGTGTACTGAGATTTTTTTTCTTTTTCTTTTGTTGTTGTTGCTAGGGGGCCTGTTAGTGGCTGCGGGGCCCTAAGCGGCCGCTTATGTCGCTTAATGGGTCGGGCCGGCTCTGGTTGCAGTTAACAGAAAGGTCACTACATTTCATGAATGATATCAAAATATTGTATTTTCAATAGGCTATAAACACCAAAGAGACTGTGTTCCCCAGACAGTAAGGCCTAACATGATATTACACTGGGCGTGGATAAACCATGGTGTTGAACTATTGTTTTAGCCTATTAAGTTTAGTTTTTGGAACAAATGTCATTATTTCAGACAGTTAGGTGGAGGCGTTTAAAGGTGACATTTTGAGTGGGACTGCATTAAAATAAAAGGAAACAATAGTCCTTTGTTAGAATATATGGGAACTCGATTCCTTCTGCTCACAAGAAGACCTATTTACCATCTTTACCATCCCATGGTAGAGCACATTCTTTAAAAAAGTATTTTTAATAAATTACTACTCCAAATGTAGCTCTGAGGTGAATTGTATGATTATATTTGCTTACGCTAGGGGGCAGTGAACGCCACGTAGCGTCTAGCCTGCCGGAAATAGAAACAGAAACAGGACGTGACGAAGGCGGAAAAAGTCAACAACAACACGACACCGACATGGCTGCTGACAGTGATGTGAGTTTCTTTAGTCAAATAAATCGATGTAGAAGGATTAGCATTGTTGTCTAAGTGTGTATTGCATTAGGCCAGATTATAATATATATGTATTTAAATGAAATGAACCCGTTTGTTTCTCTCGCAGCTTGAGTCAGAGGTGTTTGAGATCACCGACTTCACCACCGCGTCAGAGTGGGAACGGTAAGACAACATGATATGTCAGAAGGAACCGAGAACTGTTGTAATACCATGGCTGCTGGGGTATCATTAACATCATGTTTATCTTATTATGTTGGGGAAATGTTGCTGTTTTATTGTCAATAACGTGTTTTCAAATAGGCTACCAGTGTACATAATGAAGGCCGAACATTATTAGCATTCTCCCTGCTATACATCAACATGAAGTGAGCTAGTGTAGGCTACAATGATAATGTAGAGTCATGTGAAGTTTGTGAAGCCTCCTCCCGTTCTGCGGCTCGAGTATATTGTAGGTACTATCAGAGGTAACTAAGTACATTTACTCAAGTACTACTTAAGTACAACTTTGAGATACTTGTAATTTACTTGAATATGTGATGCTACTGTGTACTTCTACTCCACTACAGTTCAGAGGTACATGGTGTACTTTGACTCCACTACATGTATGTAATACCTTTAGTTACTTCACAGATGTGGATGAATGATGTGAAATATAATCAAGTGTTGAATCAGACTTTAGTTCCACCTGGAGTAAATCCACAAGCTACCCTGCAGTATGCAAAGTCATTCAAACTAGCTGCACCTTCACCAGCTTTGAGAACACTTTCATGATCAATCATTATAAAACATATCATATATATTATTCTGAAATGGACCAATCTGCACAATGACTACTTTTACTGTCGCTACTTTCACTATATTTTGATGATAATACTTTTATACTTTCACTTGAGGAACATTTTGAATGCAGGACTTTTACTGTCACAGAGTATTCCTACACTCTGGTACTTCTAGTACAAGACCTGAGTACTTCTCCCACCTCTGTTTACTATAGGAACATGGATGAAGGGACTTCAAAATAAAAGCTAAACTCTGGTGTTTCTGGCAATTATACCTTTATTTGTTAATGTCAGTAAGTGTGACAAAATGACACGTGAAAAGGATATTTTATAACGACAATGGTATATTATAATTCAAAGGAAAAGGCGTGTTGCCTGGCACTGGTTTCACTTCAGATTGATTGCATATCTCTTCAGAATGTCAATGAGTCAATATCAGGACACTCTGATTGGATATTTCAAAATAAAGCCCTTCAAATGTGTAATGTACGCATTGTTTAGATGAAAACAGGGGAGGTAACTATAGAACAACGAGCTGTCTTCACCTCTGCATCCTCACCTCACAGATGTATAGTAGGTCCGGTCAGAAAGCCTCTGAGCCACTATCAGGACATTCTATTGGGAATTGAAGATCTGTGTAATTAGAACAATATGTTCACATTGTGTTGTAAATAATATCAAAGAAATAGCCTGTTGCCAAATCGATAGCAGACCACCTATAGAGCGCACAGAGTGTACTTAAGTAGGTACTGGCACTGAGGAGTTTTTGCCTAAACTAGTACTTCTTAATGCACTTTGGGCTTAAGATTGATGGTAATCAAATATATTTCCCTTAAAAAAATGTGAAGATGAAGAGCAGCCATTATTCAGATTTGATCAGATAGAGCCAGAGAATGGGTTTAAGGGTTATGGGTTTTGTGCTTTCTATAATATTTAATTGATTAGTAGTATGCGCCATTATATTGATGACAATCTGTCAATGGACTAATTGACTAATACCAAGATAGCTCATGTCCAGACAAACATTTATTTCTACATGCCAACATACAGTAGGGCACTGTTTATATCCAACCAATGCCTGCCGCTGACCGCTCAACTCGTCTCTCCTTTGAAAGGTTTGTGTCCAGAGTGGAGGAGGTGCTGAATGAATGGAAGCTGATCGGCCTCTCTGCAGGGAGTGTGAACCCAGAGAAGGTCTGCTGCTCTCAATGAGCCTCACATGTTCACATGATCAACACCAGTAGGTTCTTCACCTTTACTCATGTCTCATTCTGTTTTGTTTGAACACAGGGTGAATACACCTCTGGCACCTGGGGGGAAAAGTGTCTGGATATCAACTTTGCTGACTTTAAGTTCTACATTACTCATTACTTCCTGAAACAAGAGTGTGAGAAGGACAATGGGAAGGACAAGCTGGAGGAAGGTACACTTATCTCTGAGGTCGCGTTCACACCTAATAGTCCTCTCTCAGGTGCGCACCAGACCACAGTTTGTTACATTGTTTCATTTTTCAGAAGGTTCGGTTTGCGTTCACACGGGCAAAACTCAAACGGACTGTAAACTTTAAACACAAGTCATGTGCACGGAAATGCTGTTCAACCATTGGTCAGACATTAAGGGGGTAAAAACGCAAATCCCGGCAATTTCTACCGGAGCCTCCGCCATGGAGCATCGGCACTTTCGGCAGGTTATTCTCATGCTGCTGTTAATCTGGAGATCAACAGAAACATATGATTATATAATCAGACAACGTCCGTTAAAAAACATTATAACATAATGAGAGGCGTTCTGCAGTAAGGAGGGGCGTTTCACCGACGACAGGTGTTCTTACTTTTATGTAGCTGACGGAGCATTTGTACTTTACACGACATTGTTCAACACTTCATTCTGCTTCACTCTTTAACTAAACAACCACGGATGTCTTGAAAGACTCTTTCACTAAAGATTTAGAAGGTATCAGCGTTCTTGTGACACGTAAATACTACGCTTCCTATGTTTTGGTGCGTACTGCGTTCACACCAGCAATGAACCGCTCCAGAGTTCGCAAGCAAGCGCTCCGAGACCACCTATTTTAGCAGACCAGAGTCCGGTTGTTTAGTTCACTTCAAAGGTCTCGGACTGCGTTCACACCGACCCAAATGAACCGCACCAAGCGGCTAAACGCACCAGGGATTCAACCGGACTAAACAAGGCAGGTGTGAATGCGACCTTAATGTCCCATAATATGTTGTTTACCTGATGAGTAAAAAGCAAGGTGTTAGTAGTTGCACGTTAACTTGATGTTGTACAGTTGTGTGTGTGCTTTTTGCATATCCCCTTTCCATAGAGTAGGCATAAAGCTTAGGCCTAAAGACATTGGAAAAAACATAATGTATTTCTTCAATCTCTTCTGGACAAAAACCTATTGAGTCCTAAAAGTTCAAAAAGGCAGTAAAAGTGTATAAGAAAAGTCCAAATAAACTTGAATCAATAGTACTGCTTGTTAAACAATTATAATGGAGTTTAATAAGGAGAAGATCTTCATTTGTCTTTTATCATATATTCTTTATATATTCCCCATGTTTCCCACACGCCATTATAATGGCCACATGTCTTAATTCCCTTATGCTGTTATCATAGTGAATGTGGACACGTTCCTCCCCATCACAGTAAGTCTTTGTCTAACTCTGGTTGTTGTGTGTAGACTCCTTCCCCCTGGCCATGCAGGACCTTCTGTGTATGAACAACGACTTCCCCCCCCGAGCTCACTGCCTGGTCCGATGGTGAGTTCCAGCTTTTATTATGTTTTTATTTCTGTTCCCTGTCAAGTATGTCTGAAAATTACAGTTAACTACTCAGCTGTACACACTTTAATCTATTTCAAGTTACAGAGGCTCACTTACTTTTTGAATGAAGGCATACCTCATTGATAGCAGATAACTGTTCAGAGATTTGTAAACACAATTAATAATGGGGAAGTCATGTTCCTGTCTAACAGCCAACATTGATCAAATTGACTTGAGGGAGTACACATTTTCATTTGTAATGGCATTTTTTACTTGTCATAATGTTGCCTCACAGAAAGTAGAATGTAACCTCAAACCATCCAGCTACCAGGAGGCCCCATATCATCATTATTATGGTTTTATCACAGCTATGAGGCTGATATGGGTAAATGGGCATTTAACAATCAAAGGGTCAGGGGTTTGATCCCCAGTCAACATGTTGAAGTGTCCTTGGGCAAGATACTTAACACCAGATTGCTGTGTAGGCCTGTTTACGGCATTGAAATGTATGTCCTTTGCTTTGGATTAAAGTCTCGGCAAAACAACATCATTTGGTGGGATTGATATGTCAACTATGGTAGAAAGTCTACATATTGTCTGTCGCAAACTTCTATGTAATATAAGCTTAAACCAGGCTTCTAAAATGCACACTGACCGATAGTGGACCAGATGGGGAAAGATGGCAGTGGAGAAGTCTATGAAACTGATACCTGTGTCCTGCTGTATCTTTGTCTCCTCTCTCAGGTACGGCATCAGAGAGTTTGTGGTCATCACTCCAGGAACTAACTGTGAGGCCATCATCAGTGAGTCCAAATGCAACCTGCTGCACAGCTCCGTGTCCATCGCTCTGGCCAACAGCGGCTGGTGAGTCCCCCTCATCTCTATAGACAAACACAGGTGAAAAGAGCCCCTTATAAATATTCTGGCTGTGTTTTGTGTTAGTCCAACGAGGGCAAAGCAGCTAAATCAACGTTGTTGTTCCAAGAGATGGAACACATTGAATTCTTGAAAGTAACGCCTGCTCCTCTTCCTCCGCCTCTCTCAGCCAGGTGCCCATGTTCGTGCAGATCCAGCAGAAGTGGAGGCGGGTGTATGCTGGAGAGTGCCAGGGGCCGGGGGTGCGCACAGACTTTGAGATGGTCCACCTTCGCAAAGTGCCGAGTCAGTACAACCACCTGTCAGGCCTGCTGGACATCTTCAAGGCTAAGATAGTAAGTGGAACACACTAGAAACAAATCTGATGTCTCACCCAGCTTTAACTTACAGTAGCTCTCTTCAAGGATTATGTATGAATGGTGTCGTTGCCATGGAGCTCATTTCCTGCCATAACTCCACAAACAAACTAAACATGTTTTACAAATGCCCTATGATTCACTAACAAACCCAAAACACCATCTACAAACTAATGCATTTTGGTTTGTTAACAAATATATTCTCCAAGTACAAAAACATAAATCCTACAAAGACAATTTGTGGAAAAATCGTAATATTTTGTTTTATTTCTTTGTACTTGTTGAATATATTTGAGTATACTTAGGCAATTAGGCAATACCTATGCTGTTCCTATTTGCAAAACAAGCATTCGTTTTTGTATTTGCAAACCACATTGAGTTTGTCAATGAATCTTAGGGCATTTGTAAAACATGTTTGATTGTTTGTGGAGTTATGGCAACAAAATGTGATCCATACAATGCAACTTTAAATAAGAAGCTGTCTAGAGAATGATGAGTGAGGCAATAGTCGTAAAAAATAGATCTATTGAAAATCTTTAATAAGATAAAATGAGGTTAAATATACTTTATTGATCCCAATTTGGGATTTATCTTCGTCTCAAGCATGTTGATAAGAAATTGTCCGTGAATTAAAATAAAATAGAAATATGCTTGCACTGTGTAATTCACTTGCAAGTGAGGCTTCTTCTAACAAGTGAGCACCCAATCAGGGGTAACAGAAAACCTTTAAAGCTGGTACGAGAAATGACTATAAATCACATAGTTGGCTTAACACACCACCTCGTGTCAATTTTGTGTCATCAAGAACCCTTCAATCTGAGTAAAGCTGCCGTCACATTATACGCAGTTTGCTCTTTTCTCACTGCCTGGTGGGACGTGGAGCAACAGATAGTTAGTTTCTATGGTTACCTCCCAACACTTGACTGCGCTGCTATATACGGCTGTCATCTGATTGGTTCCACATAGCAATATCAGCAGTAATCAAGGAGTGGAAAATATTTTGAATATGCTCTATCCAAAGTAAAACAATTGCATGTCATACAGACAGAACAAATCATTGTAATAATAAATAATTAGTCGGACAGGTAACACATGGTAAATGTTTTCTGTTTTTTCATAGAATGGAATTATCGTGTAATATGTCTTTTATTAGACATGCGCACTTTGCAATGTCCATGCTGACAGGGTATATTGTGCAGCCCTGGTTCCAAAGTTCCTGGAACAGTTTTGTCAGAAAGGACTAATTCATTGTGTACCTTTTTCTATTGATTTATTTCCTCCTCAGGGTTGTAACCTGTCCCCTCTGCCTCCGATCAACATCGCTATCCGCTTCACGTACATCCTGCAGGACTGGCAGCAGCACGCCTGGCCTCAGCAGCCTCCAGGTACTCCATACATGGGAGGATTTAGAAACACATTATCAGAGAGGCCAACTCAGTGGACATGTTTAAAGACACTCTTCTTAGATTCACTTTTCATTAGCAACTCCCCACTTGAAATGTTCTTTTAGTCTTTATTATTTACCTACCTAACAATAATAGATTTATTTTTTGGGGGAGATAGAGTGTTGCTGTCAATGGTGAAGTTGAAATTCTGGATGGTTTTGGTACGGGATGGGGGGCCGATGATGATGATATCATCTCTATGATCAACTCTATACTGTTGCATTTATTTTATAGGTCTTAAAGGATTTTATCTTATTTTATTAATATAACATTTTTCAATAGCATTATTTATTTTTACATTGTTCTTTTTATATCTTAATCATTTAACCTTTATTAGAATTATTGCATTATTATTACTATTATCTTTGTATTTGTATTTCTGTACACTTAGTTTTATGGGGTTTTATATGTTATAGTGTTGCATCGATTCAATTGTCTTGTCTCTTATCTGTCGGAGAGAAATCATTATTTCTTTGTATGATCATACCTTTGAGCTCCTTGAGTCTATTAACCTGATAACATGTTATATGTTGCTGCATGTACCTGTTAAAGTATGAACAAATCATCTGAGGGGATTTCCTTTTTATTTTTAACTTGTGATGTGTCATTTTGTAAAGCACTTTGAGCTCCATGTGTTGTATGAAAAGTGCTATATAAATAAAGCTTTATTATTATTAACAAATAATTTCACATGTAGATGTAATGCAGGTTTGTACAATGGCTCTCCTGATATCACAGTACAACAATTCCAGATACAATATAACAATAATAGATTCAAACCATTGTGTTATTGCAGTAATCATCATTAAATAGTGTCCAAAGTGACTACACATTGATGTGCAGTATTAACTCCTTGATATTCAAATATATATTGTTGTGTGTTTTGTTTGGCTCTCTGGCAGACTTCGACACACTCCTGGGGGGTGAGGTGGGAGGGGTGGAGTTTGGGAAGCTTCCATTTGGAGCCTGTGAGGAGCCAATACGGTAAATACATGTGAACTCTATATGCTCACTGTACAGTACACTGTCACTACAGTACAGCACACTGTCACTACAGTACACTGTCACTACAGTACAGCACACTGTCACTACAGCACAGCACACTGTCATTACAGCACACTGTCACTACAGCACACTGTCACTACAGTACAGCACACTGTCACTACAGTACACTGTCACTACAGTACAGTACACTGTCACTACAGTACAGCACACTGTCACTACAGTACACTGTCACTACAGCACACTGTCACTACAGTACAGCACACTGTCACTACTGTACAGCACACTGTCACTACTGTACACTGTCACTACTGTACACTGTCACTACAGTACACTGTCACTACAGCACACTGTCACTACAGCACACTGTCACTACAGTACAGCACACTGTCACTACAGCACACTGTCACTACAGCACACTGTCACTACAGCACACTGTCACTACAGTACAGCACACTGTCACTACAGCACACTGTCACTACAGCACACTGTCACTACAGCACACTGTCACTACTGTACAGCACACTGTCACTACAGTACAGCACACTGTCACTACAGTACAGCACACTGTCACTACAGCACACTGTCACTACAGCACACTGTCACTACTGTACAGCACACTGTCACTACAGTACAGCACACTGTCACTACAGCACACTGTCACTACTGTACAGCACACTGTCACTACAGTACAGCACACTGTCACTACAGCACACTGTCACTACAGTACAGCACACTGTCACTACAGTACACTGTCACTACAGCACACTGTCACTACTGTACAGCACACTGTCACTACAGCACACTGTCATTACAGTACACTGTCACTACAGTACAGCACACTGTCACTACAGCACACTGTCACTACAGCACACTGTCACTACTGTACAGCACACTGTCACTACTGTAGTGTACACTGTCACTACAGTACAGCACACTGTCACTACAGTACAGCACACTGTCACTACAGCACACTGTCACTACTGTACAGCACACTGTCACTACAGTACAGCACACTGTCACTACAGCACACTGTCACTACTGTACAGCACACTGTCACTACTGTACAGCACACTGTCACTACAGCACACTGTCACTACAGTACAGCACACTGTCACTACAGCACACTGTCACTACAGTACAGCACACTGTCACTACTGTACAGCACACTGTCACTACAGCACACTGTCACTACAGTACAGCACACTGTCACTACAGCACACTGTCACTACAGCACACTGTCACTACAGTACAGCACATTGTCACTACAGTACAGCACACTGTCACTACAGTACAGCACACTGTCACTACTGTACACTGTCACTACTGTACAGCACACTGTCACTACTGTACACTGTCACTACAGTACAGCACACTGTCACTACTGTACACTGTCACTACTGTACAGCACACTGTCACTACTGTACACTGTCACTACAGTACAGCACACTGTCACTACTAGGGATGTAACGATACCAAAAACTCACGGTACGGTATTTATCGCGATATTGAATAATAAAGAAAAAAGAAAAAAATTCCAATTTTTTTTTTTTGCTCGGAAAATGTTTCTTTATTACATAATAAATCTGATTTGTACAGCATTTTAGTAGGATAGCAGTATTTGAAAGTGTCAAAAACAAAGTGACAGTAACAGACTGGAACAAGAAAACCAGTGTTTTTGTACCTATAGTACTACCAAACAAAGTTGGCATTTTCTTTGTGCCACTGCATCTCACAAATAAACAAGGACATTTAATAATCAGACCCTGCAATAAAATAAATCAAGTTTCACTTTAGTTTTTCAAGTAACTCAACTCAAACTCACTAAATCACTCACTCAGCATCATCAGACAGGTTTTTAGGAATATGAGAATGTCCACATTTCCAGGTATTTATAAGCTGGGATGTTTAGGCATTTACAATATCCCCTGCTCTGGAAAAAACTCTCTCGCTTGGTACTGGTGTTGCTGGGACAGCAGTGGTCGCGTTAACAGAATATTTTATTTATCAATGACGGAAAAATCTGAAAGCAGTCTGTCATTTTGACAGATTAGAACAAACTCGGAACAGTGCCAACGTTTACCCGCAGCGAGGCTCTGGTGTTATGCCGTGTTATGCATGCCCTCCAAAAGGAAATGATATAGTTTCCAAACCGTACTTTGCCGTACAGATCAACACATGTCTGGTAGGTTTTGTGTGCTCCCGCGAGGTGCATGCACACACGGCATAACACCGCCCCCCCCCCCCCCCCCCCCCCCGTTGACAGTTCACGAGCGTGCTCTCTCGTGAACTGTTCAGACCCGACGGGTAATAAGGGATTATGACGGACATTTTACGATCCTGTCTGTCAAAATGACGGACAGCGAAAAAGTCTAACGCCACCTCAGTGGGACGGAGAGATATGCTTTGGCCATGGGTGACAGCAGTGGGTCAAACTGTGCATTGTCTCTCCACCACTTCAAAAACAATACAGTGTTTGCCAAGAAGGTGAGGCTTATTGACAGAGTTATAAATATACTGTTGGTACTTGTCAATATCTCTAGGTGTGTACATGTAGCACTGTAAATACCATGTCCTTTTGTGTTCTGTTGTTTTATGTTCATGTTGTAACCTACTTGCTGCCATGTTGGACAGGTCTCCCTTGAAAAAGAGATCAATGATCTCAATGGGACCATCTGGTTAAATAAAGGTTTAAAACAAAAAAAAGTGTTTAAAAGAAAAAAGTAATTTAAAAAAAAAAAATCGCGGTAGATTTTGTCATTCTCACGACGGTATTGGGACGTTTATTTAACGCGATATTCGGTATATCGTTACATCCCTAGTCACTACAGTACACTGTCACTACAGCACACTGTCACTACTGTACAGCACACTGTCACTACAGTACAGCACAATGTCACTACAGCACACTGTCACTACAGCACACTGTCACTACAGTACAGCACACTGTCACTACAGCACACTGTCACTACAGTACAGCACACTGTCACTACAGCACACTGTCACTACAGTACAGCACACTGTCACTACAGCACACTGTCACTACTGTACAGCACACTGTCACTACTGTACAGCACACTGTCACTACTGTACAGCACACTGTCACTACTGTACAGCACACTGTCACTACTGTACAGCACACTGTCACTACAGTACAGCACACTGTCACTACAGCACACTGTCACTACTGTACAGCACACTGTCACTACTGTACAGCACACTGTCACTACTGTACAGCACACTGTCACTACAGCACACTGTCACTACTGTACAGCACACTGTCACTACTGTACAGCACACTGTCACTACTGTACACTGTCACTACAGCACACTGTCACTACAGTACAGCACACTGTCACTACAGTACAGCACACTGTCACTACTGTACAGCACACTGTCACTACAGTACAGCACACTGTCACTACAGTACAGCACACTGTCACTACAGCACACTGTCACTACAGTACAGCACACTGTCACTACTGTACAGCACACTGTCACTACAGTACACTGTCACTACAGTACAGCACACTGTCACTACAGTACAGCACACTGTCACTACTGTACAGCACACTGTCACTACAGTACAGCACACTGTCACTACTGTAGTGTACACTGTCACTACAGTACAGTACACTGTCACTACAGTACAGTACACTGTCACTAGTGCATGTGTGTAGTGCATGTGAGAACTTTATTACATAGAAATGACACTCAGTATTTTATGTTTTATGTCCTCTTGATGCTAGCTGGGGAGGTCACTGTGGAATTATTATTTTTGGTTCTGTTTGCTTATGTGTTTCTCTATTGCTATTTTATATGCATATATTTGTAGCTTTACTTAAAACAGTTGATTTTAAAGAAAATGTTTTTTTCTTTTGTGCTAAAACATTTATATAATACATTTCTGTCCCTGTTTTCTAATGTTTTAGTGAGCTTCACCTTGCGACCACCTGGCCTCACCTGGCGGAGGGCATAGTTGTGGATAACGATGTTTACAGGTGAGTTTCCTGGTGTCTCTATGGGGGCGGTCTCTGTGTCCTCTAATAATGAGAGAACAAATGTCTAACACTAATTAACAGGGGCGGAGATGTTAGAATGAGATGAATGAGTTGTGGTGGCAGGTGTTCTTATCAGTGACCAATAATCAATATGCTCTCTCTGTTTGTTTACCTCTGAAGTGACCTTGACCCTCTCCAAGCTCCTCATTGGTCAGTCCGGGTCAGAACAGCTGACAATCCTCAGTGTTTACTGGGTAAGATCATCCCTTTCTGCACAATCAACATTTTTACTTAAATATGGCTATTTTTCTTTCCTTTCGCCTTCTCTGTCATTTTCTTAGTAAATATCTTACCAGCCACCAATTATGCTTATATAGCCGGTTCTGCCGTTTTTTCAAATCAACTTCCTGCTCTACAAGTACAATTTAAGTTCAAGATTTGAGCTATTACAGTGTGCCTTAAACCTACTCTTCCAAGCTGTTGGAAGACAATTGCTAAAGAAAGACCAGGTGAAATTAAACCAAAAGTGCCAAATGCAATCTGCATAAACCAGAGGTCGTGTTAACCGAATATTTTCTAAACGGTGTTATGCCGTGTTATGCATGCCCGCCCAAAAGGAAATGATACCGTTTCCAAACCTAACTTTGCCGTACAAATCATTGTACGGCGCTAACCGTTCACGAGCATGCGCACCCCCCCTCCGTTGACAGTTCACAAGCATGTTCTTTCCCCCCCACCCGGTTGACAGTTCACGATCGTGCTCTCTCGCCCCCGCCCTCGTCAGAGTTGTGTAAAGGCATATATATACTGTATACACAGTCTATTCTAAAGGCCGACGGGTAATACTGGATTTTGACGGAAATGTTACGATCCTGTCTGGGCAGCGAAAAAGTCTAGCGCAACCTCTGACATAAACAAGCTTTCATAAAAATAAAAATAAACGTCTGTATCCAGTTCCAGCAACTTAGAATTACAAATAAATAAATAAAGGGGACAATTATTGATGACTCTTCAGCCTATGTTCTTTGATCAGGGCTCATTTGCCCCATGCAGCTGAGTCTGGCTTACTCTTAGCTCTGTATGTGAGGGTGCTTACACTATTATGGGTTGCCTTACTTAAAACAAATATCTTGATTAGTATAATTAGTGTAAAAAGGAAGCACTCATCGTATGTATTTCTTTTCTTTTGTTGTCATTTTCTTTATTTTCTGTATTTTCTATGAGCACTGTGAAAAGCCCTAGATACATGTCATACATTGTTATGAATGTCACCCTCCCTTGCAGGTGACTTCCTGACAGAGTTCTTTAAGCTGTGCGGCAGAAAGGAGTCCACAGAAGAGGTTCTTGGGAGAGGAATGCCTGAAGAGGAGGGCAAAGGTCAGGTCCCTGTCTGGAATTGATAGCATTATGGTAACTGCTGGGTGTGATTACTAACAGCTGCTGCCCCCCCCCCCCCCCCTGCAGAGAACAGCGACATTAGCTCAGCTTTATCCAAGCTGACGGAGCCGGCCGCAGCCGTCCCCATCTCCAAACTGTCCGTCTCCAACATAGTGCACAGCGCCCGGAAACACATCCGCCGCCACCGCCACACCGACGAGTCCCCGCTCAAAACTGATGTGCTCAACTCCGTCCTCCTGGTAAGGTTCATTAGGACAATAGAGCTCGTAATATTATTACAAACAAACAGTGCTACTTGCAAACAAATGATTCACTATATACCTTATATTTTGAATGATGTTCTATGTTTCTATTCATCATTGCAGCTTCCATTCACTTGTGGAGCTGCTACTTGCTTCAATGGCTAGTGATATAACATTACAGCATAAACACAAACAAGTAACATCTCTATTTTGGAATCTGTTAGATTTAGTTTATTGATCCTAATCAGGGGCAAGACTTGTTACAGCAGTGTTCAAAAGACACTATAAGAAATCAACTTATTATTATTATTATTAATACAAATAAACATCAACATAAAATGTATACATTTTAAATATAGAAAAAAGTAGAAAAACAGTACTACCAAAAGAAATGATAAACATAGGAAATATATACATTATACATTGTTTTAATTCATATTTAAATATTGAAATGCAGTGAGGCAGAGCTGAATGGAGTACTCTTTACTATATGAATGCCTTGATTAAACAGCTATTCTCAAGACGAAAACAAAAAATGCTTTCATCATTATCTATTTAAATAATTGATGATGTAAAATAAATGGATTATTAACAATAACAGAGGAAAGCCTCATCGAAGTTCTTCCAGCATATTTAATTGTTTCTGTGACAACGGTATCATGACAACTGTAACTAGTGTTGTCCGGCATCGCCCCTCTGCTTTTTATGATCTGTTAGTGCTGATATATTTGTGTTTGACTACAAGCTCTAGGAGCACCAACCAGAGCAGGCTTGACCTCATACATTGTATGAATAGCTCAATCTGATAGTGGTAAAGAGCGCACAGCTTTAAAGACAACAGTGAGCCCGTCCACAGCTCACCTGGTAGAGCAGGCAGCCGTGTGCTGGGCCTCAGTCCCTGCTGTGGCAGATGCAGGTTTGAATACGGCCTGTGGTTCCTTAACACGTCATCCCCTCTACCTCCACCTTTCCAGTTCCCTATTATAAAGTGAAATGGAAACTTCTGGAGCAAGGAGTGGAAAGACAATAACACACGGGAGAGCTCGTACAGCAAACACTGAAGATTTCTTTGAAGTTACGGTCAGAGAAGTGACATTTGCTGCAGCCACGAAGCGACACAGCTCCTGCCTAACCAATTCTGAAGATCTCTACCCCCAGACAAGACATAACAAACAACTAAAACACCTCTATGCCTGAGGACACAGGCAGGAATAAGGACACACAACGACTCTCTCACAGAGAGTGCGAGGGGAATAGAAAGAAGTGATAAACTGGGTCAAAGGTATGGGCCTAGGAACATATTTTCTTAAACATAAAGGCTACACTGGCCCCGAAAAATATTTTGTAAAGTTAAGATATTTTCAAGTAGAAGTGTTTTGAGCCTTTGCCAAAAGGAAAACACACAGGGTGCAGTATTTGTTCTCAAGACAGGGCTGGCCCATACGTCAATCCAAGCCCCTAGACCTCCTCCTGTAACCGAGCAAGATCCCACCCTATGACTGAATCAGACCCCTCCCCTGATATAACCCCCACACCTGAGACTGCTTAGGCTCTACATGAGTACTCTGGGATCTCTCTGGAATAAAAATGACCTTGAAAAATCCTCATCTTCGTGTCAACTTGCATCTTTCTATGGCCTAGTTCTGTATTTACAACTAGAATGTTCCCTATTTCCCCAAAGGGACCAATAAAGTACATTATTAAGCACACTGCCACATTCACTTCATGTTCATTCTGATCGCAGTGTTGACACTGCTGGATGGGTTTACATACCGTCATAATTGAATTTCACTTTTCTATTGTGTGTTTCTTGTGTCAGTATCTCTTCCCAGATGCAGCTGTGGAGAAGTCCTCAGAGAGCAGCAGGAATAGAACTGCCCCGACCAACACCAGTGGGACAGCAGAGCAGGAGAAAACTCCAGACTATGTATGTGTGTTGGTGGAGAACCACAAACCTTTTTACCTTGATATCAAACATATCAAACACAATATCGTTTCAGAAATGAAAAACTCATAAATGGCCAGAGCAAAACTTTTGGAAAAGTAATTTTGCAACCAACATAATTACCATTGCAATGTAACTATATCATTCATAGTTCTGTTTCATTAAACAAGAGGTTCCACGGTTGTGTTGGAACATTTCTGATAGTTGTATTCAATGTGTTAAGACAAAGTTTAAAGGTAGCTTTTAGTTTTTCTCTTTTAATATTTCATGTTCTTATTCACTTTTCATAATCTAATATGCATGTTCATCTGTTTTCTCAATGTGTTATGTAGATATTTGTATTCTATTTGATTTGACCATTTTACTCAAATTTCCTGTGTTTATGTTAATCACTTAATTTTCTGTAAAAATAAATATTTTAAATATATATATATATTTTCTTGTATTGCACATTCTTACTTAAACTTCTTCAGTTTATATAAATATTTGTAATCATATTTTATATTATTAGACATATATATATGTATTAATTAATTTAATTCTAAGACTGTCTGGAAACCCAATCATCCCGGGATAAATCAAGTATTCTGATGTGACCCCCCCCCCCCCCCCCCCCCTCTGTGTGCAGAACCTGTACCAGCATCTGAAGTCCGCCCCCAGTGACAGCCTGACGTACCGGCTGGCTCTGTGTGTGTGTCTGGTGAACTACACCTATGGGGGGCTGCGGGCGGTGGCCCACCTCTGGCAGGAGTTTGTTCTGGAGCTGAGATACCGCTGGGAGAACAACTACCTGGTCTACGGGTGGGTAACACACACACACTAAGGCTTCTCCTAGGATGGGAACGTGAGATCAATCAGCACCACACATACAGAAGCACAATCTTAAAGAGAATCATTTTGAAAGCTGTAAATATGTCATGTTGGCAGTTTTGCATACTCTTGTCTACATTTCGTTTATACATTCCTGACCTCCTGTTTTGAGTATTCAAACACAGATCGAATGCAACATCATTATTTGTGTAAGGCTGCAGGAGTTTATGAGATGAGGTCGATGCAGTCGCTCAATCCACTAGATACACAGTCACTCATGCCAACCTTTCCCCTCCCTGTGCCTCCTGATCTGCAGACTGGCCGCTGGACCTCCTGATCTTCGCTGTTGTCTTCTGCATCAGAAGCTCCAGGTAGCAAGACACACCCACTCGCACGTCTATCCACACCACCTTCTTGTATGGGACATATTGTGCACACTATAGTTAAGACCCTGAAAGAAGCGAACACAGTGAAGCACCAGAGCGAATTTACTGAACACGTAGACTACATGTCCAAATGTATTCAAGGAGCAAAACTTTTAAAAACCGAAAAGTGCAGACCTTCCACACGGCCTGTGGTGGGTTCGTGTGCTCCTCAATCTTCAGACTTCAATGTGTTTATGAAACAAACAATATGGAGGATGTGTTGTGTTGCTCATAGCACTTAAACAACACATTGAAACCTTTTCAGAGCAGTAGCTGTTCTGACTAATCTTTCCAACTGTTTTTACACCATATGATTGATTTGGACCATGAGCTGAACCGTGCTAAATTATGACTTACAAACAACAAGCAGACAGAGAAATCCAGCCTACATCTTAACCTGCTTAATTACTTAAATATAAATCCAATTTAGATCCCTGCATGTAGACATGTTTGTAACAAATGATGAAATGTTATTAAGCCCATCTTACATTTCATAGTTGAGGAGATTATTCCTATGACTGACAAACTGAAGGCAAATGATCACACTAATAGCCTGACCAGGGGTCTCCCTATGATCATTTTCAACTTCCATCCATGCCAACTGAACAAATGAACATATTATTTAAAAAATATAAGCTTAGCAAACACATCCATGATGCAGCAGCCTGTGGGAAACGTCCCAAAGCACTTTTCTTTCTACACTAAACTTCAGAACTGTACACTCCTTTGCTCATTCTGTAATGGTGGTGTCAGGTCGGAATAATGCTGTAAATCACATAAATGTCTGAAGCATCACATTTGAAGAGAATTCAAGGCATGAATGTTAAGTTCCAAAGCTCGAAACAAGTCTTATGTTCCTGCGTAGATGCTGAACTGCTGCATCGAGAGGAAGAGGGCCAGAGATGAGGCCCGTAAGGTGCTGGAGGGAAACAGAGGGAGGGAGCGCAAGGTGTCTGGGGGGGGGCCCAGCGACCGCCCCACAGCAGAGGCTGCAGCCGGATCAACCAGAGAGGTGTCTCCTGGGAAGTCCTGGGACTCGTGGAGCGACAGCGAGGACGAGTTCTTCGAGTGCCTGAGTGACCAGGGGGAGGGGGAGGCTCCTCACGCTGAGGGAGACAAGGAGGGCAGTAAGGTCAAAGCAGAGGGGAGGCTGCATCCCCAAGGCAACATGACTCTACTGAACTCTACAGAGCCGCTCTACATTCCTGTCACTCAGGTCAGCATCTGTCCGTCTGTCACTGCTTCACACATATTCTAAAAGTCATAGGTTTAAAGGGGCCCCATCATGCACATTTTCAGATTCATATTTATATTTACTTCCCCTTATGTGACATGTCTTCATGCTTCAATGTTCAAAAAGCTCTTTATTTGTCTCATACTGCCTGTGCTGAAGCACCTCTTTTCACCCTCTGTCTGAAACCAGAGACCATTCTGCTCTGATTGGTTAGCTGGCTGCCTCTGTTGTGATTGGCCAACTGCTTAGACAACCCCTTCAGGGGTACCCACACTTTTTTGGCTGGTGAGCTACTTTTGAAATGACCAGCTCACCGAGGTCTACCAACCAAAAATAAAATCCCAAATGGCAAGGGTTGCTGAATAACACGTTTTATTTATACATGGGATAATAGGGCTGCAACAAACGACTCATTTGATAATCGATTAATCTATCGATTAATGAAACGATTAATCGACTATTCGGACTATTACTGAATGCCTTGCACAATTTCTCAAACGCTCTTATTTAGCCATCAACTTTTAGATTTAGCTTGAGGTTGTTTTAGGCATGTGGAAACTAACAATGAAGACAATAAAGATGAATACTTGATTCAAAAATACATATATTATTAAATTAACTTAACAAATTGTGAACAAAACTAACATTGCTTTTTATTTAAATTAAATAAATAATATTTCACATCAAAAGAAACAACAGTCGTATTAAATAATCTGATGACAGAACTGTAAACAGAATAGCTGAAACTTTAACAAAATAAAGAGTAACTCAGTTTCCTTTAATCATTAACCCATGTTTGTATAATGTAGTTAACTCTGTGTGTTGCTGCTAGCATACAAAACATACCTGACGGGGAAACGTTACTCGTGGATGGAGCTACAGAGCTGCTAGAAAGACAGTGGAACCCGGTGCATTGTCCACCTCAAGACGGGTAACATTTAACCACACCTTGGAGCGCTTCTCTCCACCATCCCCTCCGTGTGTTGCTGCATGTAGCAGCTGCGTGTGTGTAAACTGCCCCGCCCCCTCCCACACAGACGGGGGAGAGAGATCTCGTCTCGATTGGAAAGGTCGAAAATACACCGACCATAGACGCATTTGTTTGTCTTTTTGCATGTTAGAAACGAGTTGGCGACACTAAGACTGCGAGATAATGTTTGTGTAGCAATAATACATGACCTTTCTCTTTCTCAACTCGCTACTCGGAGGGAAGTCGCTGCTATGCCTTGTGAACACTCCGATAATGCCTCTCCACGTTACCTTTCTTTGGCAGAGCGACGCTTGCTTTACAAATAAGGCAAATCACCTTTGAATGTGACATCACAAACAAATATTCTTCCTCCCGTTCTGGGTGGAAGTGGTTTGTCTTTAGCTTCTTGCTCGGTCCCGCACTCATTTTGTTGTTTGTCTCTTTAACTTAATTTGAGTTTTCCCGGCACTTGACTGATTTTGTATCGCTTTACATTCTGGGTTAACAGACTGGAAAGCGATAGGTCGCTTTTTCTGTCAATCAAGTAAACTCCTGAATTAAGTGGCAGGGAGGCCAAGGGAGGAGGGATCAAAACCTGTTTAGTCTATTTTAACGGAGCTGGGTTTTTTTTTTTTAATGAATGACTCGCGATCTACCAGCATTGCCCCTGCGGTCGACCGCGGTCGACGTACTGGGCACCTCTGCTAGCCTATCACTTACAATAGGAGTGCGAGTGTTACACATGTCATTATGTTCATGAAGTAGGTAAGGTTAGGGGCTGTTTGTGTGTGACAGTCACGTTTAAATGCAGACCTAATAGTACTAATTATTTCTAAAAGTTGCTTTCATTATAATCATATTTATACATTTAATTCCATATTCAACAAGCAATTATGCTTACATAGAGGTAATAATATAGGCAGGGCCGCTTTAATGCACGGGCTGACCTGGGCTGAAGCCCAGGGGCCTACGGAGATCAGGGGCCTATCATGAGCCAATAAAAAAGTTAATTAAAAAAAAAAAAAGTTTTTTATTTCGGATGTTTTTAAAAAACATTTAAATAAACAAAGTCTTGTCTTTCAGAATATGAAACTTTTATTTCCAAAATCACACGATAAATACATTTTTGAAGCTTGTAAAGGGAAGATGACAGCTCTCACTCGCTACTCACTCCCCCTCCCTCCGGCTGAAATTATGAATGTAAGAGTATAGTAATCATAGATAACACGGCAGGGTCCGTTACAGTTTGTTTTCATCTGGTTTCAAATAAACAAAGTCTTGGCTTTCAGAATATTAAACTTCTTTCGGCAAATTCAGATGATAAATACAGCTTTGAAGATTGTAACGGCATAAATACAAGCGGAGAACGGAGTAACTTGACGTCACAGCAGGCATAACAACAGCCCGTGTTTCTCGTGAGGGTTTTCCCCGGGAAACAAACACAATACACACAAACGCAAAAACACACACACACACACACACACACACACACACATACACACACACACACACACACACACACACACACACACACACACACACACACACACACACACACGTGAACTTCCCCCAGACCAGTAATCCAAACGCAAATATCTTCCCTCCGTAGTATTTTGATCATTTGATCCACTAATCAATCAGATCGATGGATTCCAGAGAAGACTCCGAAACAGTCAGTGGGCACCACTTAACAGCCAATCAGAATGAGAATATGTTTCACATGTGACTTATTCAAATTGCGAGTGATTGAGTGACAGATGAAGGTTGTTTAGGAGAAAAAGTTTGAGAAGAAAAAGTTTGAGAGTGTCGCTCGGAAAAGGAATTGTTGAGGGAAAAGTAGTTTCGAGACAAGCAGCTATTACAAAACATGCCGAAGCTTACAGGTTATTTTAAACCTGTAGGCCAGGATGAGGAGGAAGGACAGATGAGTTCTGTACCGAGCGGTAGCGGTGCCGGCCGCGGGGCTTCGGAGCCAAGTAGGCCGTCTGGTTCTGATAGCGATGGAGTAGCGTGAGAGGAAAAACAGACAGGAGGGATGTTGGAGGAGAGGACGACGAGGACTTGCTACGTGGAGGGGAGCCAACGGCAACCGGACAAATACATGAGGGAGGCCCGATACGTCACTCATCTGGAGGAGAGGACCAGGCGCGCATAGAGCAGAGTGGAGAAGTGCGATCACAGAGCCTGCTGAGGAAATGACTTTGATTTGTTGTTTAAATAGGGGGCCTACAAAACCATCAGCCCCAGGGCCTGATGGCAGGTTAAGGCGGGCCTGAATATAGGGGGTCAAAAAGAAAATGGTGATTTAAAAAAAGTCATGTCATAGGGTAAGATAAGTCTTATACTTGTTTTGTATGTATTATTTAACATTGGGAGTATCCCATGATTACCAGGGTGCTAATCAAAGCCTGTATATAGTTCTACTTGAACAACAAACATTTAAACACTCAATCAAACTACCGTTGGATGAATAGCAGCAGCTAGTTGTTAGCATTCACATGAGGAAGTGAGTCATATAAATCAAATGGAGAATGTTCTGTGAACATGAGCTAACTTTCTGTGAGGACAATGACAGTGCAAATTCTTCTAAATGTGGAAATGTCGACTGTTGCACCTGTTAACTAGCAAGTATGCTAATTTAGCTCTCCACCAGGCATCATCTGCCTTTCCTGGCAAGTCAAAACAAATCCCCAAAATATGATTTGAAGTGATTGATTTCATCTTTATATGTGTGGTATGGAAACTTGAATGTAGCCACAATGTGTGTGTGTGTGTGTGTGTGTGTCAGGAGCCTGCCCCCATGACGGAGGACCTGCTGGAGGAGCAGTCTGAGGTGCTGGCTAAGCTGGGCACCTCGGCTGAAGGGACTCACCTCAGGGCCCGCATGCAGAGCGCCTGTCTGCTCTCTGACATGGAGTCCTTTAAGGTGAGCCAGGAACACCTGCACACACTCAATCTGTACACGACAACACACAATAATCATCATAGGATTTGAGTCTAATCCCGGCTCCCTATATCTTTAAGTTGTTATGCTCTCCAGCAAGACCCCTGATGCTCCTGCTGTGTGTTTGTAAAGGGACATTTTGCACCATAGTGCTTCATTCACGTAATTGAACATGCATGCCAAAGGTCTACAACGATGTAAAAAATAAATATGGGTTCTCTCAAATGTTGTATCAAATTCATTAACACCTGGTGCTTTGCCTTATTGGTTGTGATCAGAGTGAATATAACAGCTGTTATACACAGGTTTAGTTTAGTCACGCACCCTGGGAGTCAGACGCTTCTAAGGAAACATTTACAAATTATAAATATTTTGACTAATTTTTGCAATTGCGATGTGATTTTTAAGATCAGAGGGAATTATTATCTTTTTTAATATTATTTACATTGTATTTTTAAAATGTATTTTTTTGTACCAAACAAAGAAGTTACATACCGTTTGAAGTCCAGGACTTCGCTGCATGTTTTTAATAATAATTACGGGATATTTTCTGGTAATTATATCATCTCAATTAAATCATCTCCTTTTGTTTTCTTGTGATTATGGAAAAAGGAAGTATTGAAAAATAAGAGCTCTATTTTATTTATCTCTAGTGGTGAATACATTTTCCAGGTCTTGGTTTATTCCATGGCTCTTCAGAAAGTCCTTCTTAATGACGTAGGGATGCACATGGATTTATTTCAAGTGAAATTTGAACAGCGAGATACTAAACCGTTCTCCCGTCCCTCCACAGGCAGCTAACCCGGGCTGTGCTCTGGACGACTTTGTGCGCTGGTACTCTCCTAGAGATTACGTGGAGGAGGAGGTGGAGGATGAGAAGGGGAACATGGTTCTGAAAGGCATGATGAGTTCCAGGATGATGATCCCAGGAAACATGTGGGTGGAGGCCTGGGAGTCCGCCAGGGTGACCCCCGCCCGCCGCCAGAGGAGACTGTTCGACGACACCAAGGAGGCCGAGAAGGTCATTTACACAATTCAACTGACGTAACAGATGTGACTGAAGGCAGATGCATGTGTAATACATACCTGGCTGCTAAATCCTAAGAACTGTTACAGGATGTGTATTTTTTTTTTAAATGTTGTAACTTTTTATTTTTTATTATATTTTGTATTATATCATAACTTAGTACTATTTTTTTTAATGCATGTCACATATTTAACATGTAACCTTAAGCTGTCTGTGGCTCTTTTTCCTGCTGTAACTACACACATGGTGGGACTAACAAAGGGATTTTGGCTTGTCTTTTCAGGTTCTTCACTATTTGGCGGTGCAGAAACCTGCTGACGTGACACAAAATCTCCTGCCGTGCATACTCCATGCTGCTATTCTGAAGTTGAAGGAAGAAGGTGAGTTGGGCTGTGTAATGACATCAGACAGTAAACTCTAGGGGCTAAATCACCTCAATATTATCAACACATAATAATACATCAGAAACTATTAAACATCAAGGTGTGACAATCAGGATTTTAACCAATGGTGTTTTTGCACAAATTCTTACAAAGCCTTGGATTGTAGAAGGATATTTACATGGGAGACTTAGAATACACTCCACCAAAGCAATGAGCCCTTCACAAGAAGGAGTCATCTCAGTACCTCTTAAGGGTCCGAGTTAGTAGGGAGAAAACTGCTGTGTCAGACAGTGAGATGAAAACTCCGTATTATTATTGGTATTTGAATTGAATACACTGTTAAGATATTGATTATAGCAGCTTTAAAAAATAAGTACAATGTTAAACTTCCTGTATGAGCCTAATATAGTTGACTGATGAAGTGTTCATCCATTGTGTGAATCACAACCAAAGATGTAGGCATGTCGGTGGAACATTTTGCCACAAGGCCTAGCTTCCAAGTTTCCAAAACAACAAGAACAAAGCTCTTCTTTTTTTACAATGTTCTATTAGTATGATTATAGTACACCTGTTGTTGGAAAGGGGTCGGATGTTGTTTCTTATAGAACAGTGTTTGCCTCTCGATGCAAGAATAACAAAAATGTAATGTATGAATGCTGTCAACCGTGAGTAGCAACAAACACTGGAAATGTGAAAGTGATCCAAAGGGCTCCTCTTTAAGAACGGATTGAGTGTGAGACACAAACAGTGAGGGGACAGCATAGGGACTGGAGGGAACTTTCCATATTTTCCTTCTTAAATACATTGCCTGCGTACTATCACTATTTTGTTCTTTTCCCTTTCTCCCTCTCTCCGCTTAATCCTCTCACTCAGAGTCAGTGGAAGACATCCCATCAGTGAAAAAAAGCATCCAGCAGGTGATCAGTCAGGCCAGCAAGCTGCTGCACACCCTCAGCCACGACTACAAGAAGCTGGAGGTGAGAGACAGGATGAGAAGTAACTTCACAAGCTGATCATCTGACCGGGATTTAGAGAATGATAAGCACTGGGAAAGTTGGCTGTGCAATAATATGAGAGTAATAATCATTAGAGAAATGTCAGTGTCAATTTAAAGCTGTTTTGATGGCAAAACACACGTTTCAGCTTTTCTCACTGAAACGTGAGGTCATATGATTCTCTGAAGAATAGTGTAGGTGTTATCAATGTGGCAGCGTACTCTGAGAACAAATATTAGTAAGGTGCATTACTAAATCATTTATGATTCAATACTCAATCATTGACATATTAACATTAGAATAGTATAACTATATACAGTTGTTTCAACACTCCATTTCTTTTATACAGTTGAAGAAAAGCTAGACCCAGATGGTATTGTGGGAACTGTGACCCCTCTGGCATTTAGAGCTAGCTTACCTATTTAAGAAACAAATCACCTTTTTTTTGATGAACGCAAACTAAGCTCCAAACCACAAAGTGAAGAAGCACACAAGTTTAGAGACCTTCTCTCCAATTGAGAACTTTCAGTTCCTTAATACTGGCTTACAAACCCATATGAAGATAAATACATCATTGAGAAACCCTTGGAATCTGCACTGACAAATGTAACAGCCATGTTTCTGGGTTTCCCTCTGAGCAGTCGGATCTCCTTGCTCATTGTTGGATCAGTTATGCATGATCGCAGCCTATTTAAAAGTGGAACCTAGCTTAGCATAATCTTACCCCGGGATTCCACCGGGTCCGTCTGCGCCGCCGTTTTGTTCAGACCTCCTACAGCGTCATACCCCACCGGGCGCATTTCGGAAGCGGAGCGTCTTGCGTGCCGGCTCACAGTTTTTGTTGATTTGGGCACATTTCATGGACGGGATACTTTGGACTATTACAAGTATTATTAACTTTGTCTGCACAGTTATAAATGACATTAATCAAATATGTGTTGCTGTATTTCGTGCTAAAAAAAAAAAATGCATACATCATCATAATTATTCTATATATATCATTTACTGTAAACCGGAGGAGAACGCTGGCATTTCTGCTCCTACTTGAAAGACTACGGAGGGATTGGGTCTGCAAAATTACTTTATTTTGGGGATTGACTGGATGCTCTGAGCCAGGGGTTCCCAACCTTTATTGTGCCAAGGACCGGCAGATACATTAAAAAAAAATCGCGGACTGGTTGTCAATTTTAACTGATTTTAATATTTACTCACCACCAGCAGGTAGCAACAGAGGCTCATTGTATGTAACAGCCTGAACAAATACTAGAACAATATGCATCCAAAACATATTAACAACGTTTGAAAAAGAACCGGTGTCGTTTTTCGGAATAACGGAAAACCAAAAAACTGACGTTATTCAGTTTTTAAACCAAAACGGGAAAACAGATAAATCAACGTTTTGGTTTTATTTGTATGATTTACGGATAATCCTGTGTGTGTGTGTGTGTGTGTGTGTGTGTGTGTGTGTGTGTGTGTGTGTGTGTGTGTGTGTGTGTGTGTGGTGTGTGTGTGTGTGTGTGTGTGTGTGTGTTGTGTGTGTGTGTGTGTGTGGGTGTGTGTGTGTGTGTGTGTGGGGTGTGTGTGTGTGTGTGTGTGTGTGTGTGTGTGTGTGTGTGTGTGTGTGTGTGTGTGTGTGATGTGTGTGTGTGTGTGTGTGTGTGGTGTGTGTGTGTGTGTGTGTGTGTGTGTGTGTGTGTGTGTGTGTGTGTGTGTGTGTGTGTGTGTGTGTGTGTGTGTGTGTGTGTGTGTGTGTGTGTGATGTGTGTGTGTGTGTGTGTGTGTGTGTGTGTGTGTGTGTGTGTGTGTGTGTGTGTGTGTGTGTGTGTGTGTGTGTGTGTGTGTGTGTGTGTGTGTGTGTGTGTGTGTGTGTGTGTGTGTGTGTGTGTGTGTGTTACTGTTCATGGTCATTTGAAAACAAATGCCGGTGTCGGACAGACACAAACACACCGAACACACAGAGCTGACCTGAGCAGAGCACATACACACATCATGCGCCTTGGTGACCGGACATCTCCTTCATAAAACTAATAAAAGGGGGAGTAATCGGGCAGTTCGATGTGTGTAGAGATGTGTGTAGAGGTGTGTGTGGTTAACACGTTGCAGCCTGCAGTCACTCGCTGTTCTGATGAAGGTAAACACAGCGAAGGCGGTGCGTAAAAAGGCACAGCTCTCGGCGCGCTGGTGCTGCACTTCTCAGAGGCGGAGTTACACGTCCCGCTGCCTCCTGATGCTGCAGCCATTTCATGAAGGGAAGGAGGTTTTCCTTCTATAAAACAGCTGCGGGCAGCAGATACCGTGAGAGTCCCGGACATGAATTCATAGATCAAGGCAGACTGGTTTACTCTCCTGTTTTGCCAATCCGGTGCTTAAACAAATAGCTCTACACCCCTGGCCGACATGTCCTTAAAATGAAGTCCGAGTTTGAAATATATCTCAATAATGTATGCACTGCCATTTCCCCACATAAACATAACAGTCTGCAATGAAACGGTTGTCTCCTGTGCGCTCCTCTTCCTACTTGGCGCACCGGTAACTTTCTCGTGCACACGAGAGGCTGAGACCGGCTGATCCGCTGAATCCCTCGGAACATCATAAAAGCCATTTTCAACGGTTATCTGGTGAAAGATTAACTAGGCTACTGGATGAAATAATATGACTGGTATAGGTGCGAACATTAAACACTTTTTGAAAAAAATATTATGATAAAATATTTTGATATATTTATAATTCTGCAAATATTACGATAAACTCACAGCTATTTCGCGGCCCGGCAGTAACACCTCCGGGAGTTGGGAACCCCTGCTCTAAGCGGCCCACTTCCTGCCCGGGGCTATGCAACGTCTCGCGTCAAAAACAGACCAGCCGCCTATTTTTTAGCGGAGCCCAGCGCCGAGACGCTTCTGGGACGCTTCTGAGCCGTAACGCTGAGCGTCTGGTGGAATAGCACCCATTGACTAGAGTGGCTGCGATCGCTGTGAACGCCGCGGCGCAGACGGACCCGGTAGAATTATCAAGGCAGCTTATCATGTTAAGCTGCCTTGACATGATATGAGATGTGTTCTTCGCTCACCACAAGGTATGGCACAGAGCCTTGGGGTGACAGCTAGTTAGCTTTGTTTCTATGGTTACGTCCCCTGCTTAATACAGCTGTATTCTAATTGGTTGTGATGAATTGTATTACAAAGTGCCTTATAGTTAGTTAAGTTCCATTGCCTTTGTCCCTCCTGCTCCTGTTCTCACAGCTCATTGGCTCTCTCCTATCTGCAGGACTTCATTAACCAGCTGATGGCTCTGGAGACAGCCATCACTCAGGCTCGGTCTCTGAAGGCCAAGTTTGCCACCTGTGAGGGCGGGACGGCAGAGGACACAGAAGAGCTAGAGAAGTAAGTTACACATGGTTTTATTTGAGCAGCGTGTCAGACAGAGACACAGAGAAAGACATTCTGTACAACTGTGAGCTGTTGTGACGCCAAACAGGGCCTCAAATGTAAACCATAGAAATCTGTAACGTTTGGTGACATCATCTTACACAGTTAGTTGTGACAAAATCTGTCAATAGACCTAAACAGATGGTATTGCTGCTCTGTAGGACCACATTTTGAGAACTAAATCTGCTGAGGCTATCTCTTGTGAATTGTCTCTTTGTTTGTTTTCGTGTTCATTATAATCTGTTGATGCCCATGTTAAGCACTTTGAATGCCTTTGTGACTGTATACATAAATAACCTGAACCAGAACCACTGAAGTCATGTTTAACTTCCTGCTCCAGGTTTGTGAGCTCTCTCCTGGAGGATCCGGAGGTGGTGGTGCTGGGGGCGGGGCAGGGACCGGCCGGCAGCATCATCCACAGGCTGTTCATCAACTCTCAGAGGGTAAGACCCCCCCCTCTCCCCCTGGTTGTCTCATTATATGGTGGTGGTACTTCAGTGTATTGTTTCGTGTGTTTTCTCACTGTGATGTTGTTAAGTAGCTTTTTGAGGTAATGGGAAACCAGCGTTTCCTCAGATCTTCACTCATGATTTTTCTTATATCTTTTTTTTATACATTTCCTGTATTCGAATGTATTTTTCTGTGTCTTTTCCTGCTGCTTACGTGAAGCTGGCTGACTTCACCAGTGACGAGGTAACCATAGCAACAAGACTTCCTGTAAACCTCTACCCCTCAACAGTCCCTGAGTAACACAGAAATAAGCAAACATGCCTGGTCTCCAGATTATTCTTTTAACTCATTTGACTAATTCATACCTCCAATAGAGTTGTGCAGGAATGAGTCCTAAAACCTGGAAATGAGTGAGTATTATTTACAAGATCTGTGATTAACACAAGCTGAAGAGATTTCCAGGTTTTGTTCTACGACATATAATCAGTAAATACCCCACCCCACATTACCATTGCTAAGCCAAAGGCTACAAATGTTTAGCATTGAGCGCTTCCTTGTCTCATTTGGTCGTTTTTATGACACAAAGAAGTTTCAGGCATTCACCTGCGGGGGATTTTCTGACTTATTTCATGTTGTAGAACAAGACATGTAAATCTCTTCAGCTTGTGGTCTAACAGACTTTATTTCAGGCATCTGAACACACTCATGAAACCATTGACTTTGAGACAAGGAAACATGAAGTGGTCAAAGGCAGACTCATTTCCATGTTTTAGGACTCATTACTGAACAAAACCCAACTGGTGCTACATGCCAAACGAAAGCTATCATCGACAGCGTTATGATGAGATCCTGGATTCGATTTTGATACAGAAAAAAGTCATATACATATGTACAGTATATTCCAAAGATGAATGTCATTGTGCACCGTTAAAGGAGGGGTAGAATGTAATCTTACTAAGACTGTGCCCTCGTTTTAGTCTCTAAAGTGAATCTTTGTTTCTGACTCATGGAGTTCAACATGATGTGTCCTTTAATCGTGATGGAATTGTTCTATTCAATGTAGAATAATTCAGTGGCACCAGTTACATGTTTGCCACAGATGGGTGACGAAGCTTACATGAGTGTGTTTACCTACTGTATAAACTGGTGTACCAGGCTGCAAACTACACACACCTCCACACCCTTCCTCTGCGGGTTAGTAACATTTACCTTCCCCCCCCCCCCCCCCCCCCAAGGCTGCTCTCCTGTCCCCGATGGAGGATGAATTTGGGCTGGAGAAGAAGCCGGGCGGAGGCAGCAACAAGGTGCCGGACTTCCCCCCCCCGGCAGGGCGGGAGATCCTGCTGCGGACCTGCGTCCCCCGCCCGGCCCCTTACTCCAAAGCTCTGCCTCAGAGGCTCTTCTGCGTGCTGATGAAGGAGGAGTTCAGGCTGGCGGGGGCCTTCTCCTCAGACACCACCTTCTTCTGAGGCGCCTCTGAAACCATGTGCAGACCCCCTGCAGCCAGAGCAGGAGGAGCAGGGACGACGTTAACAGGATTGACTTTCTCTGTTGCTTGTTTGTGGGGACCATTCCTTGTTCAGTAAATGTTTTATTTAAGCATGACATGTTTGTGCTGGCTAGAGAGTATATCTCGCCAACACTCATGAGCCTTATCGAGAAAGAGTGAGAATTATTCTCCTTCTCATATTGGTGAAACAGTACACGTTCACCCATGTATTACATCCCAACACATCTCTTATTTCAACTTTGGCATTTCAAAACCCTTTACCAGAGCTTTAGACACGAGATGTCTCTTGTAAATGGGCAAAACTTCAAAAACAACAATTGTCTTTAGGGGAGATTTGATGTTTATGAAGGTTCTGAGATGGTATATAACACGCGTTATACTTCTGAGTAACAAGATACAAATGTCTACGTCAGTGTGTGCGCAGTAAGGCTTTAGCTGATAATACATTGTGGCATTTCCAGGTACAAGCATTTGCTAATACCTGTAAATAATGTGTTGGACAGAATGCTAGGTAATAATAAATAGGTGCACTCACACATTAATATATCCAACTCTGAAGTACTATTACGTACTTATTTTTAGAAAATAAAGCTTTACTTATCGCAGCCTCAAAAGTGAGCCTTTATTCAAATGAGAAATGGTTGTATTGTCATCCAACCAATGCTCTGTCAGTGTATTATTAAAGTAACAGTGATGTCCTCTGTGTGTACACAGCTGTACTGTGTTGTTGGAACAAAGAGCGTCTCACCTAGAAATAAACACTTGTTCTATCTCAGTCGCTGACTGGCCGTGTGTATGTACAGAGTTGGAGTTAGCAGAGTCTGGTCGGAGGAGGTCTTTTCTTTTGCAGCATCCACAGCACTTGATTGGCTGTTCAGAGCACCGTTCAATAAAGGAGTCTCGTAGCTGTTTTTCTCTGACTGGTTCCCCGTTTAGTTTATCGTGTGTACAAGTACGTATAGCTAAACTTAATGTGTGGTTGACGCAGTACACAGTCCTACCGATGGTGTCAAAAAGTATTTTAGCTCATTCAATGTCCATTTATTCTGTTGGGCGCTTTGGCTGAATTCTTACATGAACAGTGCTATACAAATAAAGGTATTATTATTATTGTATAAAGTACAACAGTCATTCTTGTTTAGTTAAACTATACATACAAATGAATTGTGTGTATCCATGCCACTTATTCTTTTAACATAAATGATAACTTGGCTGGTTAGCGAGTAACATGTTGATTGTGAGGTAGTGCTGGAAGAAGTTCTTAAATCCTTTGCTTGAAAAAATACCTATAAGAAAATGTAAAAAACATTATTTATGTTTGACAATACGACACCATCAGTGTTGTGTAACTATACCATGGGTCTGTATCATAAAGTGTTACTCTTTGGTTCTCAAGTTGTTGTTTTATTGGTCATTGTATTTTTTAAAATACATTGAATACGTTATGCCGAAGAAGACAAATAACATTCGATCACAAAATTACTTTTCTCAGCAGTGTGGGTTCTTGGGTTTGTAAAAGGTCTAAAAGCAGTAAAAGAGATGCGGAAAATCCGTACAAGTTTGAAAATAATTAAGAAAAAATGGAGCCAGGTACAACCTGCTGACACTGTCAGGGTACACGTGATGTTTTCACCTCTACATGAATAGAAAACCTACAAGAATACTTTTGGATTGCATCAAACAGCGTTCTATTCTCCTCGGTAAATGACAATATTCTTATCGGTCTCGTGGATCTTGATCTCGTACAGCAGGCTGGGCGGCAGCAGCTTCACCATGTGATCCCAGATGTAAACGGCCACGTTCTCAGTGGTGCTGAGTGGACAGGAGAGAGCAGGAATGAGTGTAATGTGAACGCCATCTGGGGGAACTAAATGAAACTGAAGAGGAAACTCACCTGACAACTTTGGCAAAGTATGGGACGTCCTTATCCAGGTGTTTATGGTCCAGTGGAATCATGATGACTTCCTGTAGTTCAGAAGAAATGTCATTTAGTCAGTAAAAAGCCACAGAAGACACTTCTGCTGATTATTTCGGTTTTAAAGCCTGCAATGCTACTGTTCCGATTCACCCCACATTTCTCAACACAGAAACTTAAATGTTTGTATTTGATGTTGCTCTGTGTATGCCAGAAGGGTGAACTGTTGGCTATCACATAAGCCATATCAACTGTTGATAATACTGTATGTCTAACTTGTGATAATGCCCAGTCTGTGACGTTCTGCACCCAGGTGTCAGGAACTGTTAAAAATGCAGCTCGATCATTGAGATATCACGTCGGATGATATAATAAAGTATTCCTTCTTCTGTTCTTACCTCGATGTGCGCCTTCAAGTCCGTCAGGTTCATGACCATCCCGGTGTGAGCATCGATCTGTGGGCGTTCACAGGAGGAGGGTCACACACACATCCAACAGATCGTTTGAGTTAGTCATTTAAGTGTTCTGGGGGAAATTGTGATGACTACAAATACATGAAGTGCATCAATTCTGTTCCTACTGAAGGAAACAAATGATGGTGCAGAAATAAATACTGAATTATACTATGGAATTCTATCTTATTCTTTTTTGAATTATCACTTACGAAACCTAAAATATTTCTCCAAATATAATTCATATTCAAAATGACAGATGGCTGATGAAGCTTGAAATATATTTAGAAAAATGTCTCAAAACGTAAGTTTGATTTAGTATAACAGATAGATACTGACCTTTCCACGCACTGTTACCTCCACTGTGGACAGACAGGAGGACATTGAATGAATGGGAATGGCAATGTAAAAGCAAGCAACATTTTTACAATATAAAGAGTGACAAACCTTTGTAGTTGTGTCCGTGACCGTTGGGATTGTTGCATTTTCCATAAACCCTTTTATTCTCCTCATCACTCAGGTGAATGCTGGAAAAGAAGTTCAAGTAAAAACAAGGAAGGAACATAAGAGAAGTGTAGATGCACCTCGGACACTCAACTTTGGTTATCAATACATTGTTTTAATTCATCTCAAACCATTCTCTAGTTCTAGTTTCTCAAGTTGTAGATTTCCAAACCATGCGTTAAGATGCCAACGCTCTAGTGAATATTTGCTGATGACGAAAGTCATCAGCAAATATTCAGCACTGTGTAACTTTACAATACATGTGTTTACAATGCGTGCTATGCTGATAGAAAACGCTGCTGCATGTCAAATCAAGCGCTTCCTAAACCGGCAGAAACCAGGCGAAAGGGATGGCGAAAATATATGAATTAAAAGACATAGCCAAAAATATCTGAAAACAATATAGGATTGTTTTTCAGAGAAATATGTTTTTGAAAATATGTTAAAAACAACATAATAGGCTATAGTATGATACAAATGTGTAAAAGATAGTAGGTCAAAAATATCAGAAATACTAACATACTTTAGTATTGAAAAAACAAAAGAAAAAATGACATACTATAAAATGTTTTAAAGCACCAATTATTTACTCCCTACAGGGTGTACTTTGAGGGTTTTGACTCTGCAGACCGTTTACATGCAGAAAAACCTTCATAACACACAAGGGGACGGGTAAGAACCGGAAAAGCATGACATGGGACCTTAAACACTTGTTGTTGATTTGTTCAGTTATTATTCCTGTGATTACACACAGAAATTATGATGATACGAAATAAAAAATGCAAGTAAGCAAGTAAAAATGATGGCAGAAATAGGAGCTTAAACTGTTACTATAAATAACAGGGGGGGGGGCATCCATTTAAAATACAGATATGAATACTAATCCATATGACAATATGATAATTACAATAAATATATTAATATATAAAACGTCAAATGTATAAACGTTATAGCCTATTGCAATTTCCATTTTTGTATAATATATGGAGCAGCCCTATAAATAAACCAACAGGTAAAGTCAGTGCTCTATTTATTTAAAGTGCAATAAATATTGTTTCACTTATACATACAAGTGATAAACGATTGTAATTTCAATATAGTGATAATCATTTTGGCAATAATCATGCAGGATAATGTCTATTCATGGACTACACATGTGCAGAAATCTCGTTTAAATTCCAAATGTAGCCGCTGGGTACCACGGTAAATATTTTCCTACGTCGCCGACAGCACGTGAAGGCAGCACCAGCAGTTTACGTATCTATGGCTTCAGATAAACTATAAATCCCACAAGACAATAATAAGACAGAGCTATAAAACTGTCAAAGGTTTTGTTCAATTAAAAATGTTTGGCAGTAAACAAGGACGGCTATCGGTAACATTGAACGGTCGCTTGTTGACTGTACACTGTAGACAGGAAACGGACTTCCATACCGGGAAGCAGCCCTATATCCGTCGAGTATTAACCATTTCTGTCCTAATATAAAACGGCTACCTTTAATTTAATTACGAGCAACCCTACAACCTGGTCACGCTTCCCAACTTCTATCGGCACAAACCAGTATGTGTATTACCGCGAGATTTAGGTAATAAATACGTAAACGTAATGACGTAGCTGCTACCTGTGGAGTCGGTGGCAGGCGCTGAAGCTCTGGACTCGGGTGATGTATCCGAGCCGCTCCGCTGCACCGTCAGTCACGGAGGATCCAGCCATGGTCGGTATTCTACCTGAGAGAGGGTCCGGAGACTGTTTGCTGAGAGCTGGGATGAGCAGGATGAGAAAAAAGCTGCTGCTCGAAGCTCCCGCCCCCCGTGACTCAAACTGCCCGGCCATTGGCTCAAAGCAGGTCGTAAAGTATCTCACATGTCCCAGATAGTTATCAAAAGCCCTCAGGCAAACATCAGTCTGGATACAATGCAGTGTGATTAGAGATAATGATCAGTAGCTCTATCTGTAGACCTGGCTTGGGAACCAGAGGGTCGCCAGTTCAAATCCCATGGACCAAGTGCAGAGAGTGGGTTGGTGCCATAGATTGGTTGGTGCTCTAAAACAGCGGTTCCCAACCTGTGGGCCGCGGCACCCTAGTGGTCCGTGAAGGCATTGCAAATGGGCTGCCAAATATATATGTTTTTTTAACTAAATAAAGATACAGTCAGTAGGATCACATCAACATTTCACAAACAAAAATAGGTTGACAACCAAATACCACCGAAAAACACAACATGGCAAGCATATTTATTGTTTCTTTAATCCCACTCTTCGTTGGAGCTCATTAATTCCCATTTCATGGCATGTTGAGCCACCCTTTGATTTTTTGTGGCAATAATTTTTTCCAAAATAAATTGTATTTTTAATCTACTACTTTAAACTCTTTACTCTTTACTCTTAAAACTCCTTAAATTAAGATCACTCCTTGATTGACTTTTAAAAAGATGTATTTTAGCCAGAAGAATAGTTATATTTATTAACTGTATGCAGTCTTCATCTAAAAGCCCAAATAAAATATTAAAGGGTGTAAATGTAAATTCAATATTTGCCGCCGAATAATTTGCAAAACATGTTTTGTGTGGAAACAGTTTCATTATTAAGAATTTTTTTATTTCAACCTCTTTTCCTTTCTCTTTCTCGATCCTCCTTAGCAACGGTCATTACAGCCTATAGAGGTTTCTCAATACTCAAATGTCCCCTCCTCGACTCCTCGGTCCTCCGGTAGTGACCCGGAAATGAATTTCAGCACGCCATGTTGAAGGACATCTTATTTCTCTAACTTCGAGGACCGAGCATCGAGCATTGAGGAGGCTCTCTGGAGGAGCTATAACCGAGGAGACACTGATGGGTCCTCCACGGCTCCTCCGTGGATGCATTTCCGGGAACGGTGGAGGCGTGACGCACGGCCGGACTTATCTCAGCCAATGACAGCTCAGCATGCATCCCTTGGATATTATATTAGGGGGGATATATCCAGTCTCTGATTGTGTTACGTTATTATGAGCGTGCTCTTATACTTGTTTGATTCTGAAATTGTATATATTTATATAAATATGTATG